ATTTTTTAATACAAATTATTTTCAACTACATTAAAACGTAACAATTAAAAGATTGCAACACTTTTAACATAATGGTTACTTTATCAAGTTTTCAAAATGTGCTCCATTTCTGAGTTATCAGTACCCTAATCGATGGTAGAATGCGTCTACCACATTTCTCCATGATTGTTTTATTTATTTAAGACCTTCCAGACTACATAAAATCATAAGTGTTACATATGGTTGATCGTATTGAATAGGAGATTCCAATAATGACTGAATATACAGGGTGATGAATTTGAAAAACCAAAGTGACTCATAATATAAAAGAAACGGCAAATCTGGCAACATTGCAAATATCAAATCTGGAATCCCCGTATACCAAAATAGGTGTATCCGAAATTCTGTACAATTAGGACTAGCAATTTACGAGATACTTGGCCATTTCCAGACTTTTGGGCCACTCCGTATATTTGACAACAACGTAATATCTACACAAAGTGTTGCCCTCTTTTGTTTCACGTATCAACTCTAATTGGCAATGTTTGTAGTTACAGACAACTATATTGAACACCGCTAGTTTTAGAACATAATCTGTATTATCGCGAAAAGTAACTTATGTAGGGTAATATAAACCTTAATAAATATTTTGTTCAGTTGATCCTGGTTGATCCTACTATTTACATTTGCTCTTTTGTTATTTTCGGTAGTGTCACTATTTCGCTTTATTTTTCTCTGATTCGCATCTAATAACTAGGACTGGAGAGAGGATTTCAATACTGACCACAACATACATGGTGGTATATTTAAAAAATCAAAATGACTATCAGAATTATCAGGAAAAAGGTAAATCGGATAACATTGCAAATGTCAAATCTAGAATCTCCGTATCCAAATAAGGCTTCTTCCTTATTAGAAATCCTTATTACAATATTTCTTATCAACTTTTAACCAGGAAAACCATATTTTTTTTAAGCACGTTAAGCATAACCATAAAAATATTTTTATAATAACAACCAAATATTCATAAAAAAGCAATAAACGGATAATGTAAGAAAATGTGTTGACATGATCATTTCCACGATCAATTATTTTGTTAGTTAATTTTCTTTGGAATTTTATTCCTCTTAGAATTAATTTAGAATCAGGATCCTAGACTTACTCTCAAGGTCTATCGAAAATAATAATGTTTATAGAATTCGTGGACCATTATAATATTTACAAATTATCACAAAACAACTTTTTGTTGTTAATATAAACTGAGAAAACAGATATATTAAAAGTATTTTTTTTCTTGTATGGTATTCATTTAAATTTTTTTTTTTAGATCTTGTACATTATTGTGTTTCAATAGAATTGTTAGTGTTTTAGTCATAATTATTAGATAATATTTTTTGAAATAAACCATGGTCAAATAATATTAGGTACCTGTTTGGTTTCAATAATAATTTATCTCTTGAAAATGTATAATTTTTTAAAAAACAAAAAAATTATAAACTATTTATAAAATTGTAAACTATGATCATTATTTTTGAATATAGTGAGGTTACGAAACTATACCTTTCGACAACAATTAAGTATTTTAATAATACAATTTTCAATTCGAAATTCGATTTGAAAATTATATTTTTTGATTTTCATACCATAATAAGCCCAAAGTTATTATAATTATTTAAAAGGGTGGTTAAATGTCGAAATATAAAGTTAAACCTTTTTGAATCTTTATTGTGTCTTCCGGTCGATTTACCATTTTTTCCAAGCCGAAATTCCATTCAAAAATTCTATTTTTCTATTTTTTATGCTCTTTGAGCTCATTATAATTATTTTTGTCGATTGAAATTTTTTTCAAATCAAAATTCGATTTGGAATTTCTATTTTTTAAATTTTAACATTGTTTGGGCTTATTGTAACATGTTTGGATCTTTATTGTACCTTTCTGCCAATGGAAATTGTATTTCCGATCTTTGAGTTCATTATTACTAGTTTAGGGGGTGTTAAAATGTTGAAATATAATTCTAAACGTTTTTAGATCTTTTTTTATGCCTTCATATCAATTGGTAATTTTTTTGAAGACAAAATTCGATTTGGAAATTATGTTTTAAATATTTTTACACTCTTTGGGCTTATTGTAATTAGTTTCCTCAACTAGTGTTTAAACATTGAAAGTTAAAATTCGATTTAAAAATAGTTTTTTTTATATTTTTACATTTTTTGAGTTCATTATAATTAATTCTAAATATTTTTGGATCTTTATTGTACCTTCCTGTCTATTGACAATTTTTTGCAAGACAATTTTCATACTGTTTGGGCCCATTATAACTATTTTAGGGGGTGCGTTAAACGTCAATATATAATTCTAAATTTTTCTGGATACTTATTGTGCCTTTTTGTTCGCTTAATCATTTATAACCAAGTCAAAATTTGATTTGGAAATTGTATTTTTTTTAATTTTTATACCCTTCGGGCTTTTAATTATTTTAGAAGATTTTTAAACGGTGCCTTTTTGTCGATTGACAATTTTTTTTTCGTCGAAATTCGATTTGGAAATTGTATTTTTTTGATTTTAAAATTCTTTGGGCTCATTATAATTATTTTAGGGGATGGTCAAATGTCGAAATATAATTTATTTTAAACTTTTGGATCTTTATTGTGTCGATTGACGGTTTTTTCCGAATGAAAATTCGATTTGGAAATTTTATTTTTCGAATTTTCATATTCTTTGGGTATATGATGATTATTTTAGGGGATGGAAATATAGTTCGAAATCTTTTTGGATATTTATTGTGCTTTCCTCTCAATTGCCTATTTTTTCCAAATCAAAATTCGATTCGGAAATTGTATATTTCGAATTTTTATACTCTTTGGGCTTATTATAACTATTTTAGGAGGTGGTCAAACGTCGAAATATAATTCAAAATCTTTTTAAATATTTATTGTGCCTTACTGTCGATTGACTTTTTTCTAAGTCGAAATTCAATTTGGAAATTATATTTTTCTTATTTTCATACTCTTTAGGTTCATTAAAATTATTTTAAAGGGATTTTATTGTGCCTTACAGGTAATTTACCGTTTTTCCAGTCGAAATTAGTTTTGGAAATTGTATTTTTCGAATGTTTACATTCTTTGTATTTATTGTGGTCAAACGCACCCGTTTTTAAAACTAAACTTTTCACATTTTGGGGATAGCTTTTTTTTACTTAGGATTGATTGTATGACTACGAGTATTCAGTCCATTCGCCTATTTTGTCGATTTTTTCGATTTTTTTTCGATTTTTTTTCGATTTTTCCGATTTTATTCGATTTTTTTCGATTTTTTCGATTTTTTCGATTTTTTCGATTTTTCGATTTTTTCGATTTTTTCGATTTTTTCGATTTTTTCGATTTTTTCGATTTTTTCGATTTTTTCGATTTTTTCGATTTTTTCGATTTTTTCGATTTTTTCGATTTTTTCGATTTTGTCGATTTTGTCGATTTTGGCGTTTTGACGTTTTTGTCGATTTTTTTCGATTTTTTCGATTTTTTGTAGATTTTGGCGTTTTGACGTTTTTGTCGATTTTGTCAATTTTGTCAATTTTTGTCGATTTTTTCGATTTTTGTCGATTTTTGTCGATTTTTTCGGTTTTTTCGATTTTTGTAGATTTTGTCGATTTTATCAATTTTGGCGTTCTGACGTATTTGTTGTTTTTGTCGTTTTTGACATTTTTTTACGTTTCTTTACGTTTTTTTTACGTTTTTTACGTTTTTTTACGTTTTTTTACGTTTTTTTTACGTTTTTTTTACGTTTTTTTACGTTTTTTACGTTTTTTTTTACGTTTTTTTAGGTTAGTTTTTACGTTTTTTTACGTTTTTTACGTTTTTTTACGTTTTTTTTACGTTTTTTACGTTTTTTTACGTTATCTTACGTTTTTACGTTTTTTTTTACGTTTTTTTACGTTTTTTTACGTTTTTTTACGTTTTTTTACGTTTTTTTTACGTTTTTTTACGTTTTTTTTATGTTTTTTTACGTTTTTTTACGTTTTTTTACGTTTTTTACGTTTTTTTACGTTTTTTACGTTTTTTTACGTTTTTTTACGTTTTTACGTTTTTTTACGTTTTTTTACGTTTTTTTACGTTTTTGTACGTTTTTTTACGTTTTTTTTTACGTTTTTTTTACGTTTTTTTGACGTTTTTACGTTTTTCTTTACGTTTTTTTACGTTTTTGACGATTTTAACAATTTTGACGATTTTAACAATTTTGACGATTTTTACGATTTTGACGATTTTAACGATTTTAACGATTTTGACGATTTTGACGATTTTGACGATTTTGACGATGTTGTCGATTTTACATTATATAGGACAAAAAGTATATAGATAATAATATTGTAAGTAACTTTTATTTGAAGTCTTTTCTTCTTCAAACGTAACTAACAGAACTAACTAACGTAACCCCCAGATGTTCCGACTCTACCCAAAATCTAATCATTTCACTGGAGGCCGGAATGAAGCTTAAGTTTAAAATTTGGTGTTTTTCTTTGTATCCGTTCATCAGTTATCAAGGAAACAGACAAACACACAGAGACATAATCGCGAAAATAGTCAAAACGGATTCAGGGGACTCCAAAACGTAAAAAACCGTCGAAAACTCGAGGTCGAAAAAAATCATAATTCCTATACTTTCCTTATCTGTATACAGATAGGAAAGTAAAAATGTACTATATGTCATATATATCATACTTTATTTGTGTTTGTGAAAATCAGTATTTATCTATTTTATTTATTAATTATCTAGAAATAAACCCTTGACAAACCCTTTATTTGTTTCCCATGATGTGACAAAATTCGTTTAAAATTCGTTAACAAAATGTTCACTCAAAACAACACAATTTGAACCTAAACGTAAATTCTACTCCGTAATCGATTTTTCTGCGTGTATCGTAGTCAGTGGCACCACCATGGTACCACCTAGATGTCGGAACTTCAGCTCGAGAAGGAGCGCTATTAAAACCGACGTCTATCCGTATTTAAACCCATAGTTTTAGAGCCGCTGTCCGCTGTTCTCGCCGTGTCTCACCGGAATATTCTTAACTTTTAACTTTCTCCGGTGATCTAACCGAATAATTTTGCTACAATCTGTCAGAACCGTGGAAGTTCGTGCTCTCTGTTGTTCTCGGTCGGCGCAACATCTTTGTGGAGTCGCGTATCTTTTAATATCTCGTGTAGATACTTGTGGAGAAGACTCAGGGTGGATATATCAGGGTGAATCGGATTTTTCTTCCAATTTTTGAAATATCGTGAAACGGAATGTGGTGGATCTAGTGGCGAGTTGTTTACGATCTTCTGCTTTTTTGCATTCTATTTTTTTGTAAAATTATTTTTGGGAGAAATGGAATTTATATTTAGGTAAGTTAGTTTCCACACTCAAAACATACAAATATAATATTTAGTACCTACATTAATTTAGGCGCTTTATGCGTTTTAATTTGGGGGTTGTTACGAATTAATTGAAGCATTTTAACCATACCTAACTTTTTTGTCCATCGGCTGGTTTTTAAACTTTTAATTTAATTTTATGAAAATTAAAAAAACTTATAATTTTCGAAGTAATTTTTTAAAAAAATTAAATATTTTGGCAAAATAAATTAGGCAATAATATCTAGAATATTCATATATTTTAAAGTTTTAATTCCTTTCAATTTCCGAGAAAAAATCAAAGAGCTTAAGAAGAGAATTTTAAAATAAAATTAAAATAAATGCATTCCTCAACAGCACTATTCTTAATATAATTTTCAAATTTAAACTCTTAAAACGCCTCGTTAAGTGCTACCTTCTGGTGTAACGCGACTGTAACTATCGTATCGTACACTCTTAGACATTATTCGTTTCTTGCAACGATTTACACTAGTTTACATCAGAAGATAGCACTTAACGAGGCGTTTTAGTCAATAATTTTGGCAAGTTTTTAAAAATCATTAACAAGACATTCAGAGCTTAAATTTGGGGATTATATTATTATGATATTTCAAAATTTAGAGCCCTGTGATTTTTTCTCGGAAATTGGAAGGAATTAAAATTTTAAAATATATGCATGTTCTAGATATTATTGCCTAATTTATTTTGCCAAAATTTTAAATTTTTAAAAAAATTATTTTTTCGAGATATCCTTTTGTCCGAAAATGATAAGGGGTGCTGTAATCACCTTAATGTTTTTAGAGAAAAACGAGAAAAATAAATCATTGCATTACGACAATATAATTAAAACTAATAGGTACCCACATAATAATAAAAAGTAAGCAATAAATTTCACTTTCCTCATGTAATGTGGCGACCGCTCAAATTTTTTGAAACTTTGGTATGTTATTGTAATCAACTTAGTAACCAAAAGTGTCAATAAGCTCAACTTAATCCGATGACTAGTTTTAGAGATACAGAGTGCTAAACTTGAAAATTACCATTTTTTTGGAATTTTCATTTTTAAAACTTAGAAGATAGATTAAATTTCTGTTGTATATACACGTTCATTACATGGTTTAGTAATACATTAATAATATTTATAGTGTGATTTACAAATGTATGACTGTAGTTTTTTGCAATCAATATTTCTAATGTCAGTGAAGCATATTTTCAAAAAATACTACTGATATTTTGGCGACAAAGTATTGCACCATACACATACACTAAAAATTAACCGGCTATAATTCAAATAAATTGAAACCCCCCAATCTCAATTTATTTGAATGAAAACCCTATAAACAAATATTTGCAAATCAAATTTAACTAAAATTAATAATTAATAAATAAATAATTAATAAAGTATGCTTGCATAGTTAAAAAGAGCAAGAACAAGAGATTCACATAAAGTTTCTTTAACACGAGATGAAAAAAGGTGTCGATTTCCATAAATGATTTTAAGTGTAGAGTAAGCACGCTGTAACAGACAATTTACGTGTTTTTCAAATCTTAGCTCAGAGTCTACTAGTACACCTAAATTTTTGGCTTCATTTACAATTATTAATTGCTCATTCTGTATTCGTATGTTTGTATAATGTATTGCCCTCTCACGATATATTTTACTACCGAATAACATTAAATTTGACTTGGTGGGATTTATTATTAAACAATGATCTATGGCCGCGTTCACAAATTTTTCTAAATCCGAATTGATACGATTACATGCATCTTCAGTCATCTCATAAGGGAAACTATAATACAGCTGTGTGTCACCTGCGTATAAATGAGCTTTACAAAACTGTAGAAAGTTAAGTAGGTGGGAGGTATAAATTGAGAACAACAGAGGACCAATAATTGAGCCCTGTGGAACTCCAGTTCTAAGTTTTATAAATTCTGAGTCACAACCGTCGATGTTAACTCTCTGCTGACGATCTTTTAAATAATTATTCATTAGTAAAAGAGCATGAGGAGAGAAGCCTATGTACTGTAAAATAGCTATCATTAAATCATGATTTAAAATATCAAACGCACGACTGAAGTCTAACAACACCAAGAGAGTACACTGATTATCATCAGTAGCCTTTATAATATCATCGACAATGTGGAGAAGAGCAGTTGTACAACTATGTCCCTTTCGAAATCCAGATTGGATAGTAGGTAGTAAATCATGAGTTGAAAGGTAGTCTCTAATTTGAATATCCATTGCCCGCTTATTTGAATGAAAACCCTATAAACAAATATTTGCAAATCAAATTTAATTAAAAATTAACTAGCTATAATTCAAATAAATTGAAACCCCCCTCAATTTATTTGAATGAAAATCCTATAAACAAATATTTGCAAATCAAATTTAACTAAAAAATTAACCAGCTATAATTCAAATAAATTGAAACCCCCAATCTCAATTTATTTGACAGGGTGTTTTATAGAGAGAACCACAAGAAAAAATTATTTTTTTAAGGATTTATTCAAAATCTTGTATTCATGATTTGATTTTTGGAAAAGGTGATATCCCAATAGTGTGTAGAAGTTCGATATATCCGTTATTATAGAAAATATCAAAAAATGTTATTTACAAAAGTTACAGATAATGTTAATCTAAATATTTGAAAATTATTTTCAAATATACAGAGTGGTCCCAACCTTCAGAATTAATCAAATATTTGTTTTTTTAAATTGATTTGATTTTAAATTTAAATTCTCTTGACTTTGCCCTTCTAGAAAATACCAGCACGTCTGAGGTTATTTTATAAGTTTAAACCAAATTTATATGAAAATCGTACTAGATTCAACCCTCTGCATATTTCAAAATAAACAATTGAACATCAAAATTTTTTGATGAATAATTTTTAGTGATAGCTTAACTCTTTTTAGAATACACTAATTTTTTCTTAACGCACAAAAAGGGAACAGGGTGAGTCAAAACTCAAATAGGTACATTGTTGTCTAATTTTTTTTTAAATTAATATTTCTACAAAAAAGTACTTTAATTATACATTTGTTTGAGTCAAAACATTCTCTATGTCTAAACACAACGGTTTAGAAGAATATTAGAATGAAATGTTAAAAATAATAATTTACAGTATTTTTGGCTCATGGTTTTTTTAATTAAAGTTATAAAATATCTCCTAAATCTTTTCGACAGGTTTTCAAAAGTCTCTTTACGAGGTTGTCGGCGATAAGGACATTTTTGCTTATACATTTTAGTTGCCAACAAGCAGGGCCGCCGAGAGCCAGGTAGGGCCCCGGGACAATTTTCCAGGTGGGGCATCGCTACAATTTTATAAACGAAATTAAGCCCTTTCAATATCACATTTCTAAAAAAAAGGTCCTCATCTTGTATTTTAAATACAAAAAAAAAATAAAACATCCTCATTTAAAGCTGCCGTGCCCCCATGTGACGCTGCTGCCGGGCCCCCACTTGTGCTCAGGCATGCGGAACTGTCATTACTCTTTTGAAAATAATTTCAAAGCCTATTTGACTATCTTACGGGCTAAAAGTACCTAACTAAGCAATATATTTAAAATTTTCATTAGTTACCTTTTTTTTATGATTCTATCATATTTTCAATCATATAAGTATTTAATTTAATTCACTCCATATCTCGATGAGATTCAAGAGTCAAAATAAAACAAATGAACTTTATTGTAAATTTTATATGCTATTTTTCGTGAAGAATCCAATGATTTTGGCTGAATGGTTCCCCCATATTTCATTTCTAAAATAAAAGAAAATAATTATCATAAATATTCAAATATTGTAAACAAACAAATATAACCTTGTCTAAGATTTGTCGTATTCTTCCTTGTCTCTTCTTTTAATTTGTAATTTGTCATTAATTCTTAAAACAGTAATTTCTCTTAAATCAATTAAAAGAAGAAAACAAGATACCAACTAAAACAATTAATTTATTCCTAAAACTTCGCGGTAAATATTAGCAAAAGAAGTGGTTCTTGCTTTTTTTGTATTAAGCACATTTTCTGAAAAAGAAGCGTGTCCGCATTTTGCGGATTTTCTTCGGAAAACCTCATATTTAGTGAACTAAAATATTTTGTGTTAATACTAAACAATAATCTCAACATTGTGGATAAAAGTTTCGACTATTTAAAGTTTTTCACCTTTTTTTATAATAACTTACTTCAATTGAAGCCCCTTTGTGGCCACCCATCATCCAAGGTGAGTTTTTAAGGAATAACCCCTATAAAAAAGAATATTATTAAACTTGTAATCGTCCTAATTTTGGCAATATATTTTTAGGCCTCTTATGCAGACTTTCACTTTCACTCTTACGCTGACTTTCAATCTCATTTCCATTCAAATTTCAATCTGACGTTTCATTTTTGATTTTACTATCTAGTCTGGAACCCAGAGGTTCCTAGACACCGAATTACTGAAAGACACCAATTAAAGCTAGTGGAAGAATCCAACCAGTCCATCTCTTTGAGTTTAAAACAACTCGAGACTCAACTCATGGTTAATAGCCAGAATACCTGGAAAAACAGCTGATAATAATATTTAAATACTAATCTTATTTATACCTAATCATTTTTCTTACGCATTTGTCTTTTCACCTAATTGGTGACGTTCATACACTATTTGCTTTGATTTTATAAAATTTATTGTACCAATTAATCTAATTTTATTAATATCATTTATTGACTAGTTATTTCTAGAAATAAACTACATCTTACCGTAGGTTGTTAGAGCAATTACTGAACTTAATTCATTTCTTTACATGGGTACCAAAGAGAAGCTCTTCAAGCCTTTAAATCTTCAGATTATTTTCGATTTGTGATTGCTTTTCAGACTAAAATCATTTATATTTATACAAAATAATATTTAATTTATATAATTACTCACCTGTTTATAATCCAGTTGTGCTTATTTATTTGAAATCATAAAATATATATCTACTCTCATCACTTAATAGAAAATATTCCGCACTATTTCT